ATGCCATATGGTTCTAATCATATTGTAACCTTACATGAACCATAAAAACTGTCAGCACAAATTTAGGGGGCATTTAAGTGCCTGCCCCCCTGCATATCGGTGTTTGATTTTATTTACTTGGGCTCTCTGTGATGAATGTAATCAAATTTATGTAATATTAAGTAAGCCAAGTACAAAAGACTTAAAAACAACAGTCGTAAGTTGGTAAGTACCTCAGTGATCATCAAAATAATGGTGAAAAGGATCACGACGGCAATTTTAAGCTCTCTGACATCCTCTTCTAATTTCTCAGTCCATTTGTGGATCTGTCTGTTTTCCTCTTCTACATTCTCATGATCATTCTGTTGTTTAGGCTGTCTTTGACTGTATGTAGAGACTGATAAAGACAATTTAGGTTCTCCTCTTTCTTCAAGACTGGACAGCTCAGGGAAAATTTCCTCTTTGAATTCGGTCTATTAAATAAAAGAGACATTATTAAAGGTTACTGTACTTCAAGGGATCTGGTTGTATGTGACTGTCAGCCAATCCTAAATTTAGGTATAAATCTTTTGTAAAACTTTCTAATTTAATCATTGTCAGAAGTCGCACCCAATTAAACAGGTGTCCTGGCTGGCCATCTTGCCCTTGTGTTGTTGTACTTTCATTCTTGAATAAATCCTTGTTTATGTTGTGAGTTTGTCAATCTTTGGCAAACTAACAGGTTGAAGTTCAATGCATTCAAGAAAGAGTTAAAAGTCATATTTGCACTTTTTCATTTTTACATAAATTTATGTCCAGTGACAAATATTTTTCATAGTTTATTATTTCACAATAATGGACATAAATTTATGTCAAACGACAAATATTTCTCATGGTGTACAATAGACCTCCTCGGCTCTGGAGTGCTCAAGCATAAATGTTTTCCCATTTCAGACAATGTCTCATTCTCTTGAGAATAATGTTCTTTGTTTGAGCCGTATCCATATTCATGTACCAAAGAGATGGATACTCTGGGAATTGACATGTGGTCTGAAATGGTAGAACATTACGTCAGAGCTGAGGAGGTCTATTTGGCGTACATGGTGTACAAATTTTCTCAGCACAAGACTGAAGATTCCAATGGCTAAATAAAGTCAGTCAGTCATGGAGGCTGTGTTAGGGGCCTGGTATGCATACCCATATGTCCTCTGTCTGAATTTACAACACTGCCTGATGTCACAATTACCTAAACAAGGAAATGGTAAGTTTTTTATTTCCTTTTCCTAACATTAGCTCTAATCTCGCTCTCAAACTCTTTAACCTTACTCTCGTTAAAACACGGTTTGCTAATCATATCTATTTCATTGGTCGTTGTCTTCATGCTAAAGTCATTCCTGTTGGTTTTCGTGTTAAGTTTCATGCTTCTAATTTTGGTGTCAACTCTACTCGGTATTTTTCCAATGTTTCTTCTGCTGTTCTCGTAAACGTTGTTATACTTGTCCTCACATAGCCTCTCACACTTCTGTTGTCGGTCCTAAATCMACTGTTAAAATCACTGACCATTTTGTTTGTACCACTTCTAATGTTGTATATTGTATTAAATGTACCTGCTGTAATCTTTTGTATGTGGGCGAGACTGGCCGCCGTCTTGGTGATCACATTTGCAATCATCTTTATGATATTCGCAATAACGATCCCACAAAACCAGTTTCCCGCCATTTTAATCTAGCTAACCATTCTCTTTCTGACTTCATTGTTTTCAGTCTTTCTTTGATTAACGGCAACAATGATTGTCGCAAGAAAAAAGAAATGCGGCTTATTCACCTATTGGGCACTCTTAGTCCCAACGGGATTAATGAATGCTTTACTTTCAACTAACCTTTTCTTTTGTCTTTTGATTGTTTTTGTTTCCTTGCCTACCTTGCTCTCATTGGTTTCTTTTGTCTTATTCTATCATATATAC